ACTGAAAAAATTCATTTTTTGTGAAAATGTGCTGTCTATTTACTTGTGACCACGCTGTGTACACTGCACAATCACAAATAGTTCATTATCTCGTATTATATATAGCTATTTGTTTGACCTACAGCTGAGTACAAATTTAAGAATGTTAGAATATATATATATGTACATCCTAGCTGAATTGACACGCAGAATTGTTGCCCTTAACAATACAGCACGTTATGGTAGGCGATATATATATATATATATATATTAGTCAGTTTTTAGTTCTTTCGACATATGTGAATGGTACTGTCGAACTTGTTTGTCTTACTCAAGCTTCATCACTGTCTCTATCTAAAGAATACAATAAATTAGTTTGCAAAAACGTCCTTAGATATTTTGTGATTGTAAAAAAAAAAAAACCACGAAGTAGAAAATAATATCGGTTTACTGGTTACCTACTCTTCATCTGAACCAGTTATGAAACGTGAACATGGAAAAAATTGTAACACGTTTAACACTAACATATCAAAGGCTGTAAATACGAAACACACAATGCACTAACACTAAAATACTTGAATGAACGATTATCAACCATTTCGAGAAATCGAGTAAAACATATATTGTAGATTCTTAGTAGTTGTAAGGAGACAGACTCTTTAGCTATTTAAACGTTTCGTTATTGTTCAAATTGGGATAAATGTTGTGGTTTGTTTTTTCATCTGATCGTGGTATATAAACATACAAAGGACAGCGAAACTTGTAATCATTAAATAATGAACCATAAGAATGTTGAAAAAGTCAAAACGTAGATGGCACTACAAACAGACTTGTAAAAGGAGATTTGCATGCATCTGTCGATTATGTCTTAAAAACTTAATATATGTATAGAAAGAAAGAGAGTTATTTAAGCTTTCAAAGTTTACATATGTTAATATTTTTTACACACTCCTTATAGACTATCAATAACGTGAAACAATCACTAATTAACTGTACATCATTACTTTGCTAAAAGAGTTAAGCAACACCGTTAAGATCGCATATAACGTTAAAAAACAAATTAGGAAATTCAAATGGCTTTATAAGACACAGCTGGCTGATAGTTTTAAAGCCAACATTAAAGATTCTCAAATTATATTAAAAGTAGGCAAGATATTAAAATGAAGATTAGGCCCTTAAAGGGGGATGATGGTAAGGTTTTTGTTGAAGAACTTGAGATGGCTGAGCTTTTAAACGTTTTATTCTCATTTATTGTCACGATATTAGAAATATTCCTGACTTTAAGCACTCTATGAATAACTTTGAAATTGGTCTGAATCCTTTTTGGTACGTTAATAGGAACTTTGTCTTTCTTGTTTACCCTAAAATAATCCAATGCATACTAAAGTATGATATTTGGGTTAAACGTATATATATAAACAGACATATCTTGAATCGTCGTTCTTATAGCACAAGATTAATTTAATATCGACATTAAAAATTTACACGTTTGTTTGTTTTTTAATTTCGTGCAAAGCTACTCGAGGGCTATTTGCCCTAGCCATCTCTAATTACAAAGTGATAGATCACATCACCCATAGACAACTCGTGGGTTATTCTAATCAAATATTGCGTTCTTATAAAAGCGCCCACGGCCCCAAAATACGATTTGTTTTTCTTTTTGCGAGAACAAGGCGCGAACCACAGCAGTTCTGATCTACAGTGCAGCCTCCTAACCACTGTGCTGAATACACCCAACAAAGCTCTCTAAAATAAACAAACTGTATGAAAATAAAATAAAAGAAAAACAATTGTTTCGATATGACGAACACACTTCTACCTATGGAAACTAACTTAAGTTTATACTTGTGAAATTATTTCGTAATATCTCGTATCTAACGGCATCTATCGTGATAAATGAAACCATCTAAGATTCCGTCCTCTCTGTTGCTTTTTGTTTGTCGTTAAAATATTTTTACCATAAGAACAGAGTTCACGTAAAAAATAATAATAATTCAAATTCTTCTACGTTATTAAGACTGTCTTGAGAACTTCTGGGAACAAAACACCCACGCTTTGCTTAAGCCAGCAGGTGGCGTTTACAAAGAACCGTTGTTCAAGAGCTCACGAGGCGTGTCGAAAGAGAGATAGATGCTGGTTTTAAAACCTGCAGGAGCTCCTCTCTATATCAAAGTATACAAATCTTTTTATAATCATGTCTGTAGATAATTTAGAAAAAGTTAGTGAAACATATGAACTGCACTTTTTAAAGGAATAAATGTATCCACTTCCAAAGAATGTATGTTAATAATTTCTGTCTAAATATGGGGCA